ACACACACACACACACACACACACACACACAGAGTAACACACACACCGATGGTATTCAGTGTATGAAAGGTACACCAGTGGAAATCTGCCCTATGGTCAACCACAGTGGCACTGTAAGGATTTAAACTATAAATAATGAAGCCAACGCCAGTGAGAGTGTCCGTGACATCAGTACAATGACACACACTCCCTCCGTGAGCCTGTTGCAGCGCTGAGCTCTGATGCAGCAGCTTCCTGCTCATGGAATCCATGGAATTGTCTGGAGGAGAACTCCAGACAGGCAGAGCTGAATACATTACAACAGCAAGAGTGTGTGAGTGTGTGTGAGTGTGTGTGTGAGTGTGTGAGCACATGTTTTACTGTCTGGGTGGAAAAAGAAGACAGACCAGTGGCCGACAGGAGACGGCTAAATAAAAGCCAGCTGACTCTGACTCAACCCCAGCACAGATAAGTCAGACCAGTCCTGTCTGGCCAACCAGCACACAGACTCCCTGCTTCAGCCAGGTATGTCCCCGACACCCACACTAAGCTGAATGTGCCATTTGCTGTGTCGGATGTTGAGCCTGCTGTCGTTCAGACATCCTCTGGGCATTATTCAGACATCCTCAGTAACAGACATTATATCTGTCATACTCACCAGACTGGACAGGAGTTACAACATCTCATCCTGGTTGAACTTCCTCACTGCCAAACATGAAGCAAAACTCTCCTGGATAATGAATCCAGCCAGCAAAACAACAAACACCTCACCAGCCTCTCTGTGAGCTGTGATGAGGAACGCCACCCTCATCCCTGGGACCCTCCCACCCCCTGCACCATCCTTCAGACGCTACAGAACCCCACGGCCCGGAAGAACATTGACAAAGACTCCTTCATCCCATCTGAAGTGGAAAACATCTCCTGTCAGGGAACAGCCAGTAAAACCCTGTGCTCTCACCATCAGCTGTAGAACAGATCTCCTTCCTGTTATGTTAATGCTCGACTACACTAAAGGCCTAAAACACTTCCCAAGTAGACTTTTTTGGAGCTTGTGTCCTAACATTTGTCAAAAGACTGCACTTTGAGCAGACGACTGCATTAAAAGAAACAAGAGCTGACGTCAGGTCATCACTCAGGTAGAAACAGTCGGAGAACTTCTGGAGCCGAAGCTTTTGGCTCACATGGATTAGCTTTAGCTAAGTCCACCTCGTTACTCACAGCTTTGGCCACAGATCATATGAACTTCGACACTGTTGAGGATAAGGAAAGGCATAACGTCTCACCCTTAAATAGAGTTATCCGAGCAGATCATGAATCAGTCAGTGGGTGGGAGAAGACAAAAGCGAACCTGTTGCAGACGGCGGTTTGTTGGCTTTAAAGCCAATGACACACATGAGTCATCGGCAGACGTAGAGAGAAACAAAACGACTCCATAAATATCGCAAAACTTTGACAATAGCCAAAAAACGTCTGAACTAATTATTCTTCCTTTGCTGGGTTTTCTATTGCGGTACCTGCAGAGCCTTCAGCTGTTGGACTGAAACAACAACAACAACAACAACACGTCACTAAACTAATAATAAAACACCCTGAGCCCTGTTCCTGAGGACGCAGCCTCCAACGTTGTTTTATTGTATTGTATTAAGGCTGTGGGCCTCTCAGC